CACCATCAATCCCCCACAGAACAGGGTGCAGTTTGCTGAAGTCCTTCATGCTCTTACACAACTTAGGCTCTATAAAATGACTTACAGCAATGGCTTGAATTGTGGCCAAGTAGATAAGGGCAAGATCATCAAGGCCCTGAGACAGTGTGAGCCCAACAACCTGTGTGGAAAAAACAAGGGAAAAAAAAAGTGTACAAATCCAGCAGAAATGGAAGTTTTCCGCATTTTCAGCACACAAGGCATGTTTCTTGGTGTATCAATGCTATTTCTAATCTTGTCTTTGAGGGTGGCACGCAGAGTGTTACATTAAACATGTTACTTCCGATTTGGGGAAGAGTCACAGGAAGAGATCTTGCCTTTGCAAAGAGACAATGTACAAAACATACTTTGCGGGGATGGGGATTAGCATGTTATGTGTTCCTTGATTTTTTTTTCTTCTTATAAGCTTTACATATGGCTTTGGGAATACATTTAGTGCAATATTCTGAACTGGCACAGTAAATGGAAAAAAAAAATCCTGTCCCCCCCCCCCGGTACATCTTTTCAGTGAAAGACAATTAATAATTAAAAACCAGATTCTGATCTCATTTTGTCAGGCTTATTTCCAAACTGCCTCCAGTTAAGTAATGGAGTTCCTCTGGATTTATATCAACATAAGTGAGATCCAAATTTGCCCCTCACTGTGGCAGAAAACATACGGAGTCGTTTTCATCAAGTCATCATATCAAGGGAATAAACACCCACTGTAGTATATATTTCTTTCGGAAATATACTTGGGCGTGCTCTCTCTCTCTCTTTCCATATATACATTGGTCAACTAAGTTTTTCTTAAAATGTTCCTATTCTCTTTAGCCAAAGGATGCAATATGTTGGTTTTTTTGGGGGGGGGTTGGGGGGGGGAGGGGGAGTGTGTTTATTGAAAAACAAAGACCAACAAAAATTCACTGAGAAGAGATGTTTCCCTTCGAAGTTTCTGCCTCAGCTGCATGCTATTTTTAATCTAAAATGTTTCTAAGGAAAAATCTCCACCCAACTTCAATTCTGAGCCAAATTTGCAAACGCATTGTCCAAGGGATCCCAAGAGCTCTACACTGGGGTACAGCTGAGAGCAAAGGATAACCTTAATAACTTTACTCAAATTACAGATAGAGTTACTGTTCACAGTTAGGTCCTTCTGAGCTACGGCTCTCTGCAAAGCCAGATGAGTACAAGTATGAGCTGCAGTTAGTTGAGTATAGCTAGTCCTGGCACCATATTAAGATGGAAGTTCATTTTGCCTGTAGTTTCAGTGGCAACCTGGCATTAATTGGAAATAAAGATGCAGCTTAACTTGTATATAGTTTTTAATGAGTCACTGATCCCATAAACCCTTTGTTAACAACATGTATCAGAATCATCTTTAAGCTGATGAGTCAAAGAGTAATTAGCACTTCAGTAGACAGTGTCGTCAAGTACTGTCCATTTAAGCTCAATAGTTAAAGAAAAAAGGTTTTGATGCTCTTAGTATAGAATATACAAGTATGTAAATAGCACTACATTTAAACTGTAGGTCTGATTCTCTCACTGTTGTAACCAGAATTAAATTTTCAGGAATGCGTTATTACTGTTAGATAAGAGTTCGATTCAACCCCTCAGTTCCAGACATTCCTGAATTTGGGGTAAGTTCAAACACAGATCCAAACTTTGCAGCTGGGTTTCATCCCTAATTATCAGACTGATTTTGTTGTGCAAGAATGCGCATGCATCACCAGTTCTTTTCTCTATCATTTCAGTGATAACGGTTCCTGCATTTCAATTCACTACTTTCCTGATTATCCAGAGTCATCAAAGTTGTAGTTATCTAGTATGCCCTCCTGGCCAGTATTTTCAATTTAGGTTGCCAGGACACTTAGGGTGCTAAAAGTCACCCACTCCAACTGGGGTACGGCCTGCGATGCTTTCTCAGGTTTTTGCCTTACTCCAAGAACCAATGATCATTTTAAAGGATGTTATAACACAAACCACCTGACACAGAAACTGTTGCTATACATCACTGAGACTCAAAAGATCCTAGACCTTTGACACATATGATTCAGATTGCACCCCTTTCTATCTGCTTCATTTGTCATGGTCCTGTACAACACCATCCTGGCGTGTCATCTAGTTATTTTGGCTGCCTATACATATACTTGGGGGTAGAGGGGATGTTTTAATTAGAGTGATTCCTGGAGACCCGCTCTAATTAAAACACCTCACCGTCACATATTTTAAGCGCGTGCACGCTTAAAAATAGCCGCAGGATGCTTTAGCTAAACCTCATGCAACAAGGTTTAGCTGAAGTGCCCTTGTGGCCAGTTTAAAACATGCGGGTGCTTAATACATGTGATGGTACGGCGACCCTGGAGCATTCTAATTAGAACATGAACCAGCACGTGTATAGGCAGCCTTTGCCTCCATCAGGTTCAGTTAGACACAGGGGTGTCAAAAATACAGCCCATGGACCAGATTTAGCTAAGCTGAATCACATGGTATGTGCTGGACCAGCTCTGTGCACAGGGCCCACAATGTGCACCACCTGGGATCCATGATAATCATGATGCCCGTTCTAGCTGGTCTAGAATCCATGCTGCACACAGTGCCCCACCAGTCCTCCCCACCCAGCTGGTCCAGACTGCATGCAGCATGGATCCCAGACTGCTCAGGGTAGGGTCCACATGGGGTGCAGATCCCAGAGTGTGTGCCGTGCATGCTGGATCTGGCATAGGGGGGCATAGGGTGGGGGTAAAGTTTTTGAGGGCTTGATACGGCCTTTGACACCCCCGAGTTAGGAGCATCCAAAGGTTTGGAAGCTTCTCTGACTTTTATGAGTCCACAACTAGGGGGCTGTACTTCAGTCCCTGATTCGATTCAGCAGAGATGCGGCCTGATTTGGTGACCGAATCTGTGAATCCAAATCGAATCAGAGGACCCTTTAATCAATTTGGAGAGATTTGGAAAGATTCTGCGATTCAGACATAGACACAGCTTTAAATGTTTTTTCTATGTTCCTCTTGCTAGCAGGCATGGCTCGTGAATGCTGTGATGGTGGGGTGGATGGAGCATCCCACAGGAGCGTGGGGGGCTCCCCAGCATGCTCGGCAGCAGACCCAGGAGTGGACCAGAAGCACTTCTGGTCCACTTCAGAGTCCGCTGCACAGTGTGCTAGCCCCCCTCCCCCCCACCAATGCCTTCTCAGCTCGGTGACTGGTGCCTCCTGGGTCTGGAGGGGCACCCGGGTCCCCCTATGACTGGTTACCAAGCCAGGGAGGGCATGGGGGGGCCCCCAGCGTGCTCCCCGGCAGACCTGGAAGAGGACCAGAAGTACTTCTGGTCCACTTCAGGGTTCACTCCCGAACACACAGGGCCCCCCCCGCACACACTCCTGTGGGATGCTCCATCCGCCCCAGCATTGCAGCAGTCATGAGCTGCACCTGGTACCTTGAGGTATGTAGAAAAAACATTTGAAGCTGTGTCTATGGCCAAATCAGTGATTCTCTGAATCAGCATCGAATTTTCAGATTCAGATTCGGCTGAATCGAACTGGGGACAGTGATCCGAATCAACAAATTGAATCACTGCCCCCACTTTGGGCCGAATTCCAATCTGAATCGAATAGGGCCCATTTTACACCCCCTTATCTACAACATTATGTTGAAAACTGGTAAAAAAAAGACCTTCAAATATTCTCTCACAAGTTTTCTAGTGTTGCTGCTCCTGCTTCTGGACTGAAACACTGCGAAAACTGTCCTTCATACCATATTTCGCTATTCCAGTTCCAGAAAACATCTAAAAATTTCAAGCCAAAATAAGACTGAATTCAGCTTTGAAAAATGAATGAAGGATGAGGAGGTATAAGGAGGTACCTCATTTACTTAGTTAATTATTTAGGTCTGAACATGCACACCCTTCTCTAAGCATTACACCAGAGCTTTCCAGCTTCTCTTTAAACCAACCAGTAAGCAACTGAAATAATGTAACACCCATATTCAGAATACATCAATTTAATCTGGAAAATTTTCTTTGCAATACATCACTCTAAATTTATGTTACTGGTTTTAGAGGCTCATCCATTTTACATGAGAAATCCAAGATTGTGCAGACAGGTGGGGCAGTCAAAGATAATCAGTGATTGCAGGGCAAAATACTGGAAGAAGTACCTCCTCATACTTTTAGCAAGCACATGCAGCCCTAGTGATATCAGAACTATCCAGATTGATGGCGAGCTGCAAATACATTTGCTAAATCCAATAACAACAACAGCAAAAAATACTAGCAAGAAAATCAGGTCTGCTGGGATATTTTGCATAACTAAGGAGGAGTATGGTTAAAATAAAAAAGAAAGCTCCTTCTAAACTTTTTTTTTAACATTACCCTGTATTGACCTTTTGCAAAGTCAGGCTGTTTCTTACCATGCCCTTTAGTGTCAGATCTGCTAAGGGAGATCGGTTACCATGGAAATCTGGCCAAACATGTAAATCAACAGTGAGGAAACCCACAGGCAAAGATTTCTTAATCAGATCCAGGTGACTGTTCAAGTATGTATATATACTTTGAGCACTGGAAGAAAAACAAGTTGGAAAAAAGGGAAGGGGTGGTGGGGGGGAGGTTATTCATTGAACATAAAACATTTGTACCTCTAATATCAAATGCAAGAAAACCATCAAAGAGGCCCACAAGCCAAACTTAAAACAAATGAGAGAAAGACTCATTTGCTTGCCAGGCATGCAGAATAAGCGGGGAGTTATATTGCACCATCGTACAGCAGGAGAACCAAGTTCCTGAATGTAGTGGGGATGTGGGGAGACAGTAGGGAGCAAACAACCTTCAGAAGTAGCTGCCCTGCTACCAGTGCATTGCCTCCTGCGGGTCACTCCTGGAGCTGCAGCTGTTTGGTGTTAGGCTGGCAGACATGCCCGTCACAGAGAAGAGGTGTGAATATTGTGAAAGAGAAGAAGGAAAAGAGCAGCAGGGAGGGAAGGAAGAAATATGATTCCTCGAGAAGAATGAAAACAAATGCCTTATTTTCCCCAAATATTATCAATTCTCTTGTTATTTGTGTCAATTTTTTTCATTCGTGCTATATAAATGTTGGAGAGTGTGGTCTGATTAAAACAGAACAGCAAGGGTGGAGTAGGGTAAAGCAGATGCTGCTATGCTGGGGAGGAGCTGAGCAGACTCCAAATTGGATTTTATTTGGGTTCTGATACTACACCCAGCTCCACATTGTCCAAGAGCCTTTTTCCTGGGCCAACAGTAGTTGCAGGATTAATGATGAACTGTTCATTGTTCTGGCTTGCACGGGCCCAAGTGACATTCCAGTTAAAAATGTTGCAATTAGGGTTATAATACTTTTCTAACAAAGAAAAAATGCAAGCAACAGATTCATAATTTTCCTTTTTTCCTTCACTGCTCAGGAATGTCCGAGCAGGGCACTTAATTTCAGGCATCTAGGTCAATAACAGCATCTAACCCTAATTACAATTGATTAGTCATTGTCTCATTTATTGTAGGTCCAAACAGTGATATTCATTTAGCCCCTACATATATATTCAATCACACACTAATGAGATCCCTAAGGGAATTTGGCATATGCTTTACCACTTTGACTTCTGACCTCCTAGCAGCTGTATATTTATATTTGCATTCAACCATTCAGCCGCATGTTTTTTCAATTATACCTTACCATGTGTATGCTATCAGAGAATATCATTCAAAATGAAGTCCACTTGGAAGACATTAAAATAACTAATTCACATCATTATTCACATACTTTTAAATGTGCTTTATGTGCCTTCCTGGAACTGAATTATGATAATTTTGTGAGTTACAATGATCCTTTCCCTCACCCCCCAAGAGTAGCTCTATTTTCTGCCTCCCTAAAGATTATATTAGAAGCAATACCTGCTAATGATCAATCCCTGCATGTTCAGCGTAAATCCTGATTTTATGGAATAGAGAGGGGAAAAAAAAGAGGACGAGAGCAACATCATTCAACATGGGGCCTATGTGACCTCCCAGATTTCCTTCTGGTCCTCTTGTTACTTGTACCTAATAGCAGGGATTTCCAGTGGGTGCAGGTATTTCAGAGCTCAAAGCCCGTGCAGCAGAAATTTAAATGTGTCTTTTCACCCCAGAATTACCCTTTACTCCTTCCCCTTCCTCTAGATCTGGGCCATAAGGTCTGGGTCAGTATGAATGACAGAGCTTCAGAGCGTCTTCAAACACTTGTCAGTGCCATGTGCAGTGCTGGGCTACTGATATTCTTGTACCGAATCCCTTTCCTCCTTTAGCAACAGTAGGGCTGTGCTTTGCACTCCTGAATGTTTGAAGCAAATGCTTTTTGTCACCACCACCGAGCTTTCCTTTGGCTGTTTAAAAACTCTGTAAGCGACAGCATGAACAAGCAGCAGAAATTCACCAGAAGGTAATATCTGTACTGTCGGCCATATCTCAGAAGCCAAGGGGAGTTATGTACTTCATCTGCATAGGTGCATTTGAAAATGCTACCAGGTGCCTACCTACATCTTCAGATTCCTTATTACCTCTGAAACTCTGGCCCTAAAATCCACACATTGAAGGAACTGCCAACTGCCATTATTATAGATGACCTGAATGATCCCAAAGTACTTTACAGACACCATTTCACTGCCGCAAATTCTGTCTGAACACCTGAGGACAAAACCCTGAAAGTAATATGAAAATTGCCAAAAGGAGTGAACTCTAGGCCCAAAAATATGAAGTCAGTATATTCCCCTTGAAGAGCAAAGAGTTAATTGAACCCTATCAGGATTAGTGCCTGTCAGCTCAAGGAATCTAGGTCATTTGTACACGCCACAAAATTGGCCTTTAAAGTGGCTTAATGCCCTTTTTCACTGCTTTAATGGTGCAGCTGTTCACACATGTCGGCAGCATAATGCGTGTTAAATGACTTCGGGACACAGCAAAATAAAACATGTTGAGGTGTTTCAGTTTGCTACCTTACAACCACAGAGGGAAGCACTGGGGCCCGTGCAGCTCAGAAGCTGTGCAGGCAGCCTGGTAGCAGCCCGTGCAAGCCGCCTGGCAGCAGCCTGGGAAGGCAGGCTCCACCGAAGGTGGGGGGGAAAGCAGCAATTCTGATCTTTTTTTCTTCTCCCTGGAGCTTGCCTGACTGCCTGAGCTGCACAGGAGCCTGGTGCTTCCCTCCACGGCTGAGGTGGTCCCTGCGACTGCCTGGGCTAGATGCCTGCAGGCGGGTGCCACCTGGGAGGTTCTGCTGCTGCTGTGGAGGGAAGCACTGTCCCCCTCCCACAGCTCAGGGACCGCTCAGTCCACCGGCAGCTCACCCTCCTTTCCCCGCTGCCGGAGAGGCAGGGAAGGATCAGGCCTGAACCCTTGCATATATGCCACGAGGGTTTACTTTGCCTTAAATTGAAGTGGTGTTAAAAACCCACTGCTTCAATTTAGGGAGAATTAAACCAAAGTAGACCCTGTAGCATATACAAATAGCCCTAGACACTGCAGCCTTGATGCTTAGAACAAAAAGTCCTCTCCTCTCTTGACCATACACTACAAGTTTTCTCATGTCAAAAATACCTGTAGATTATTAACTGACAAAACAGCTGACTTGTCACAACCCTATACCTTGCACAGTTGCTGTTGGTATGAAGTTGGTATAAAATAACACTGCAAGGATGAGTGCAGAACACTGATTCTGTTTGCAATTTTATAACCGCTCTGCACTCACTGACAAACATAAGTGACTTTGCAAGGCAGGGAATCAGGCCAAATACACCTTACTGTTTATTTTAGGGAGATCTGCAGGCAAATAACTCATCATCTCCTCCCCATCAAGGGTCCAAAAAACCCAGACAAGACCAAACGTTGATATAAAGGGCCAGAATTAATTTGAGAAAAACACAGGAAATTCAAAGCTGAAGCCAAAACTTCCTGCTAAATAACCACCTTCTACTCAGCTCTTTCAGTTGATATAGTCTAATCTGATAAGGTCTCAGAACAGCAAGAGAAAGTTTGTGCCATATGTGCTGTAATAGCTAGGTACGATGTTATGAGTTAAAGATGGAATTTTGGCCTGAACGGCAAGGTCCCTGGCTTCTGTCCATTCAAGTTAGGTACTAATGTTAACTTTAATTTCGGTGCGAGTGAGGGTTGAATTTATAAGTGGCTTGTTTACTAAATTTATAGCTATATAAACATTTCATTAGAAGGGCAGTGTCTGGAAAGCATTATAGAAGTACAATTGGGTAAATTAACTGGATAAAATATTATAACCTTTTTTATCAACACTCTTCTGCACAGTTTTATGATCTTCATAAGCCTCAAATATAAATTAAGGATGGTAGGCTGTGCTACATGAGACTGTTATATCCCATGGTATTCAGTATATAGGGAGAAAACAAGTTCCCTCCATCATCTCAGCGCTCGTGGATGGTGCACTGTGTAACTGTATAGTTTCATTCAGTTAGGGCTGTCTACAACAGCAGATGCCTCTGCAGCACCAGCATAAAATACAGCTTGTACTCGTATGACTGACTTCTCATTAAAACTCACCGGTGGGGGACTACATCTGAAGCTTCAGCATAGGGGAAAAATACAGAGATTGACTCTTATTCTGTAATACGAACTTTAGCCATAGCCTTAAATCACACGGGACCCTAGAAAGCATGAAGTCTCCTTCATTCAACATGACATGTAATTGCTAGAACTGGACTTCTGGGAGGCAGAAAGAGTTCTTTAAGAAAGAGTCACTGGCTATTGCAAGGCCTTCCTAGATGTCATAGGGAAGTAGTGGGTTTTCTAGAGCAACCAAGGCAGAAGTAGGGAGGACTGTGAGAAGCTCTGTGTCAAAATCAGCGTGAATGTGCGTGTGTGTGTTTCTTTCAGGACTGGGACTTGTATACAGGTTAGGGCAGGGTGAGAGACTTGAGCGAAAATATCACGTTTGCTATGCTTCATCATTCCAGAAAAGGAAGGAAGGGAAGAAGGAAGATATTTCCCGCAGACAGGCAAATTTGTTCTTATGGCTCTAGTCTTGGAGAGTTTTTAACTAAAGATGAGCCCAAGTGGAAAGCTCAGGCTCTAGATTTGAAAGGCAGCTCACAGGCAGCCAGCCTTCACCCTCTGAAGTGGCTGACTTTAAACCCCAGATCCAAAAAAGAACTGTAAAAAGTGTGGATGTAGATCCAAATGCTGCAGCTCAAGCATACCTCTTTAAGTAACCCTTTATTTTGGTTTTCATTCCTCTTTCCCACCATCCCGGAGTATCTCTTCATACAGGAGCTGTTCTTTCACGTAGCTTCCACTGTGCTATTAGCAGCAGTCTGCTTAGTCTCATCCCTAGCCCTTGACAACATCACAATGATGAGGCCCCGTTAGCCCAAGGCACCCAGGTGTGCCACATAGAAAGTATTCAGTGCTACCAAGTGACCTAATCAGGTGGATACGAAAATGGCTTTGATGTGCAAAGCAAAAGGCAAGCCCCACTACTTGGGTAAGTATTCTAACCTCAGGGAGGCATGTTTTAAGTTTGTTAAGCTTTGATCCATGAATTATCATAATTGGAACAGCCTTTGCAAATGCTTCCAATCAGTTCACATTCAGGTAACTGAGTTCGTAGACAGTTTGGCTGATTCTCATGTTCTGAGATGAGAGCACTACAGGTATGTGAGTTCAGTATACTATTAAAAATCATTATAAAGCAGATGCTGTAGTAAAGAAGTAAAAGTGGTGACCTGGCCGCAGCTTTTGCTTGCAATTCTGGGAAGGCAACGTGGCCCTGGACAACATGCTCGATCTGAAAAAGAAAAAAACCAACTTGATTGAAAGAAATTCAATTTAAAGATTCGCTCCTGGTAAAGCATTTTGGGAAATTACAGTTTTAAAATGGCAAAAGTGCTTGGTCTTATTGAAGCCAACGGCAAAACTCCCACTGATTTCAACAGAGCCAGGATTTAGTTTAAAAAGATGTTATACCTAAGATGAGTAAAATAATATGTTTATAGCTTCCCAGGTATAGCTGCAAGCAAAAGGCATCACCCCTTGTGTCTCGAAAAGCCAAAGTATGCTTATTAATCCATTTCATGCCATTGCAGAAATGGTGACATTTAGAAATCTAACTCACCTTGAGTGTTACTGGTGCAAACATCTAGCTTGCATTTTTCCTTCATTCTATATTATAAAGATAATATCTATTGTCAAGGCTGTTTAATGTTGGATCTGTTAGAATATCAAATGTCTAATTACTTGCAGACTTCAGATGTTCCTGAAGCAGACAGCACAATATTCATGCAGCACAAGAACACCGCACTATTTTGTAGCATAAGCTTTGCTAGTACCTCTTACTAAATTCATTGGGCAGCCATGCGAATACCAAAATTATGTTATAATTTGTATTAATAAAGTTCTATCAACAGATATCAAAGCCTACAATCAAACAACTCCGAGGCAGGGTTGGAAACAATTTTTAATACAGGTTAATTGCTTCGTTGGTTGCTATTAAAGTGTTTGAGTTTTACAGGAGGATTCCAAAAAATAGTCATCCCTAATCTAAAGGCAGTTTTTGGAGAGATGGAAAATATAACAGAACGTATCCCTTAGGGCACCGGGGCCAATCTTTTTGGCAGGGATGCTACAAATTAGCCCTTTACCCCATCCTGAGTGCCACTCTGATCTCCTTATCCAGCCTGATCTGTTCCTCTGCATTCTGCTCGGTGGCCTATCTGACAGTCCCCTGCCAGGTGACACGCAGAGGCTGCGTGTGCCACTTGCAGCACATGTACTGCAAGTTGGCTACCCCTGCCCGAGAGAGACTAACATAAAGAATGCTATGAGAAAATCCTATACTAAATTACTGATATCAAACTCTGTTGTGGGGCAGGTCCATCTCAGTTTCTTAGCATGAAGTTAACTGATGGCTAGTTAGCTTGAGCTAGCTAAAACACACGTAGTGGCTAGAATGGAAACTCTACAGATCTCTCTCATAATACAGGTGCTCGTCCTTTACTCTGAAAATCAACTAGCTCAACGTGAGGTCTGGTATAAACACAGCCTTTATACAGTGAGCATGTAAGATGCACCATGCAGGGAAATGTCTCCCTTACTATTCACAAAACAATGCACTGAGCAGGGTCAAATGGGCTTCCAAGATAACTATTTAAGCCTCATGAACACATGACAGCACCTATCAGAGGCAACTGTAAAGATAAAGAGGTAAAACTATGACTGCTCAGGGTACTGGAAATACCTGCTGACCAAAAGCCAGACGATGTGTTTAATTTTCATAGTTCTCATTAGTTCCGGAACTTGAGTATTAACAGTATGATGACAATTATTTTCAATATGCGCACACATGTCCAGATGGACAGCAGACGAAATACATTAAGTTCCTTCTTAGGTTTGCACAGAAGATTAAGGAAAGCAAATTGCACAATGATAAATGTATCAAGAACAAAGCTTTGGGCTGCCCTGAATTTTGAAAAACTGAAATATTAATATTAGAACAAGCCATCAGGCATTAGTCATATACATGAACTATATAAAGCTGTCCAGAAAATGTTTTAAACTTAATTTAAAAGTCAATATACATAGGTGCATGCTTTATATATATGTGCACGTGCGATAGAGAATTAATTTTATTAACAAAATTATATTACTGCAACATTAAGGTTGCAAAGTTAAACACTCAGACTTCAGAAATACCCAAATTAAGGTTGCATGCATAAACTTACCTATAATTCCTAGCAGATGTTTTTTTGGCTGCTGTCTGTAATTATGTCTCATCTCAATTATGCAATAGACCTTTTCCTACACATTTTGAAAATGCAGTTTAAATGCTTAGACCTTCCAGAAGGAAAACTGGTTTTTTTTTAGAACAAGCAACTCCTCAAAAGAAATTTTGAAATTTCAAACTTTAGCAGAATTTCTGATAGGCTAAGCTAGAAAAGTGATGGGAACCTTTTAAAAGAGAAACTCTTTATTTTGCTCTCACTGGATACCATTGGCTATGTTCAAACTTTATGGGGAAAAAAAATCACCTTCAGGCACAGACCAATCAGCGAAAATGTAATCCCAAAATAGGATTTTTTCAAACAGCTAAGAGTAGGTGTGCCAGGACACTGCGTGTGCCTGCCACTTTAAGGGCCTGGAGCTGGCAGCCACCAAGTGCCTGATGAGGGCAGCCATTTTGGAGTCAGGGGCTGTCTATATAAACAGGGCAGTTTGGCTGCTGGAGGCCAGGCAACAACATTGCCTGGCTGGAGGGCTGTTGAGATCATCTGGAGGTAAGGGAGGAGCTAGAGGGGATGGTAAGAAGGCTCCTGGTACTGGGTATGACCTAAAACTGCACCCTGCCGGGAGTGGGTGGCCTGGTGGGGCTCCCAGTGGTGCAGGAGCCCCCAGGAAATGCCAGGCCAGTTACCACTCCGGTGAAAGGCGGGTTGGGGCGCCTTAACCCCTAGCCCCCACCACCAGGTAGGTAACCCCTGTGTTTATAAAGGGCCCAGAGGGCAGACCCTGGGAGAGAGTGAGGGGCTAGAGACCCGACCCGAATGAGAGAGTACCCTCGACTGGCCCATGCTGGGGCCAGGACCAGGATGGTCAAAAGGGCCAGGGGCCCACCGCGAGGGACGCCCAAGAGCCGGGGACCTGGGGTCCCAACTAGCCTGGAGGTGGGCCGGGGCTGGTAGCCGAAGGTCCCGGGGGGACCACACCTGAGAGGGGAAAATGGCTTCGGGGGGCTAGGTAGCCTGGATGAAGGTGGAGAGGCCGCCTGATTGGAGGGATCATGGAGGGGTCCTGTTTGGAAGATTCTGGGGCCCAGTGTGGGGGCTGGTGAGGAGATGAACACCTAGATGCCATCAGTGAGGCTTGGGCTGCGGTATTGGGGAGGATAGGAGCCGCAGAGAGCGCCCCCTGGCATCCGCAATTAATGAATCAATTAACATCAAGGCGTGGCGGGTGAGAAGGCGGGTGGTTGGTCCAAGAACAGGCAGGCGGGCCACAAAGATCGGCCCTGAGTAGGCCCCCTGTTACAGTAGGCAAAAGCCTATTTCATTATGATTGCTTCTTTGCAAATGTCATTACAGTAGAGACAATCAACCAACCACAATAGCAGGTTTGACATATTTAATTTCAATTTCTTTTTCTCTACTTGTTTTGCATGTATCATCAGAAAAATCCACATGAAACAGAATATTCTACGAATGTCTTAATAAAGATACACTTCCCCTAACATACCTAAAGTTTTATGCTAACTTTTGCTAGGGGCCATAACAAAAATAGAAACAAATTCCAAAGATCTTCTTGGAGTACCAAGTGCCTCCTTACAGATAAAGAAAGTCAGACCTTCACTGCTTCAAACCTTTAATCTAGTGGTTCTCAAACTTTTTTGTACCAGGACCCATTTGGAAACATCGATGGCCAGTCCCGACCCACTGCCCCCCACCCTCAGCCCCCCAGAGTGTTTGGCAGGGGGAGTACATGTGAGGGAGTGGGGCACCCAAGCAGCCCCTTGCAGGCTGGATCTGAGACAGTTTAGAAAGGAAAAGCCAGAGTTTCTCACATTTTTCTCCTTTAAAGGAGAATACATTTTAAAAGTCTGTTTGTGACCCTTTCATATTTTCTTGTAACCCACTTTTGGGTTGTGACCCATGGGTTGAGAAATACGCAGATCTACATTCAGTTTGTTAATAAATTAAAGCAGTATCTGTTCCTCTAATTGTACTTTTAAAGACAGATCTCTCCATTGTAACAAATGGGATTAGAATACACTTTCAGGTTTAACTTTATTTCCTCAATCTCCCTTAGACTGCAGAGAGAATATATATGTTTGGCATTTGTATTGGAGAGGGCTTGAAGAGGGAATGCTCTTTTAGTCCACTTTCTCTCACCCCCCTGACCAAGTCCAAATACAAGAGTTTTTATCCTTCTGAAAATTAATAGACTTTTGAGCAGCGAATTGTTTAGTGCTTTTAGCAGCACAGTCACTATCATGCTCTCATTAAGATATTCTGGGCCAGCCCCTCAGCTGGCATACACTGGCATCGCTCAGCACAGCTACGCTGATTGACAAGAGCTGAGGAACCAGGCCAGTATTTTAGAAGAAACTCTTTCCAGACTTACCAGTTTTCCTGTAGCGCTTTGGCCTCCTTCGTTCAGCCAGAATCCAGGTACCATGGCCGAGTAATAGGGCCCCCAAACACCAGGCACATAAATGGGGGTTTCACTTATCTGCAAAAGCAAGGATAAACATAGTCAATCAAACTGCCCTGTTTGACTGGGCTTTCCAGGGGCCATCATTGGCATTAGAGCAATAGAAATGCTCACACGAGGAGGACGAGCAACAGATTTCAGAACTTGGCCCTTACTAGATACATTTTAAGTGGGAATAATTAACTTTTTGATGAGAAGATAATCTCCTGCTGATGCTGATCACATATTAAATTGTGCTTAGCTGATACTCCGGAGTTGTTTATGCCGTAGCTGATCATTTTTTCAAAGCAGAGACTTAAGATAAAACTTGAAGGTCCTGAGACAATGTCTGAGATCCTCAGTTAGGTCTTTCTGCTCTCATGATGCACAGGAAGAGCAAGGTGCCTCCAAATGGCATTCACAGAAGTCAACAGGTTCAATGAAGAGTTGCCAAAGTTAGCCAGTAGGAAACACTGAGGACAGGACTGTGGTTTAAATCCTGTCTCTCTGGGGGGATTTAAGGAAGTATCTTTCTTAAGTGTTGCTGGAGATGTCTCCTTAAGTGTTGCTGGAGATCTCTTCCTTCACTAAAAGATTCTCCTGGATGTAGGTCTCGAAGGCCCTTTTCTCAAGAACTGAACAGAGACTGCTCTTCTTTTTCAACACACAGGGTACCCTACTTTTATCCACTAACGCAGCAGTTAAACTATTATGGAAACACATGGAAGACCTGGATTCATGACCTCTTTTTGCTTGAAATTGGAATTCCAACTACCAAGCTAGAAGGGTGAGGGTACTTGCTTTTCTTCCTGTTGAAGCTGTCCTACCCTGCATTTAGATTCGGCATAGTTCAGTTCAGGTCTCTGACGTCCTGTGAGTGCTCCAATCCCTATGATGATAAATTAAGGGGAACATCACAGCCAACTCTTCTGGCTGTGCCAGGGTACTTAAGTGGCAAGGTTGAGGATTTTGGACTTTTATGGATTTAGGAACATCTCGCTCAAGAGCTCCACCAGACTAACAAGATAGAGGTCAAAAGAAAACATCTCCTGGCCCAATCAGTAAGAATCTACTTTCTCAGCTGGAGCTTGCCCTTCATGGGTGGAAACCTGGGCCCCACCAGAGTCATCCAAGGTCTGCCCCATACTGTTTGAATACAAGTCCCTATCCTGTTCCCAACAAATGTAATGCAAAGCTCCCCTTGACTTCAGTGACAGCAGAGTCAGATTTTTAATAGAAGATTTGCTAAACATTTTAGGGCTGCCTACTAATATCAAGCTTATTGGCATGTGTTCATCATATGTTTAGTAAATAGACCAGTAGAAAGGTTTCTGTACAATCAAACCATCATTAAATTACAGATAACTCTTGCCAGGAACACAAAATTAAATTAAAAAAACCCAAACAAATAAGCAGAAACAGGTT